GATCATCTCACGGAGTACCTTCATTCTTGGACCACGTATTTCTGTTTTTGTTAAATAAATATTGCTATAACAGTGTATATGCATTTATATTAGTTGTTATTGTGGTTTAAACATGAAGTCCTTAAGAATGTGCTTGCCTTGAACAGGCTGCACTCAGTATTTGTTCTTCTAATAGTCTGCCATTACAGTGGAGTGTCTCTTAGAGCAGTGAGAACAAAAATGTGGGAAAGACTAGCTAACTAAAAAGAAACATGTTCTGAGAGTTTCACTATTTTAGACCAGATAAGAAGTGAGTTTACACAGGAGAAAGCTTTGAACAAACACACACACACACACACACACACACACACACACACAAAACTCTAGCTACCTGCTGTCATCCGGGGCCTGATTGAATGCTCTTGATACTCACCAAACAGCCTGCTGGGGAATCTCATTAACCAACTTCTGTTGTCATAGCAACCCAGTCTCTAGGACCCACTGGTGACCATGGAAACACAGACCATATGCTCTTCTGTCTGTATTAGTAAATGAGGATGCTAGATTAAGTTTCTAAGTCAAACATTGTAAAGAAACCTCAGGATTCCTCCTTAAAGCAGATCCCAGTAAGGACCTGCTTTAAGTCACATGTTAATATTTTCTTTTTCTTGAAACACTTTTATTCTGACAAATATTTCTCATGGCATTGTTCTGATCAGGTTACCCAATGTCACATTTATTTCAGTCTAGAGTAGCAGTTGTTTTTCTACAGGATTTTCTACTGATGAGGAAAGACAGGAGTCCTCTCCTGCAGCTCCCAAAAGTTCTCAGTGAAGCTGAGATTCTGACCTTTTTGTGTTAAATTCTCACGTTCAGTCTTTTATTTAAGTTTGCTAAATATCAATACAGCAATATTTCCAGTAAGTAAAACAGTTGGCATTAGGTTAATAATTATTTAATTAGCATTATATTTAGATCTTAATTCATAGTGAAATATTTTTGGTAGAAAGAAGCATCAATTCAGACTTTCAACTACACAGTAAAGCTTTTTGAGAAACTATTTATTTGGTTCAGAGACGGACTTTCTTTCAAATCCAAAGCCAGTAGCACTGTTAAGAATCAACAACAATAAGTAAGTGTATGAAACGTTTCTTTCCCTTTAAAGAAAATAAGTTTTTTTTTTATTTGTTGATTACTTTTTTTCATCTGAACTTGTTCTTAGTGGCAGGAGAAGATGGATAAAAGTGTGTGTCTGGACACAGTACCTATTTAGATTTAAAATTTCTGTTTGTGAGTGCTGCCTCGGCTCCTTTTTAATATTCCAGTCACCTTCTCCTACTCTTTCAGAAGCTCCTTTGCCTTCACTGTCAGTAGGGGTGCAACTGAACCAGCTGCACAAAAGAGATCAGTGGTGCTATTATCATCTAGATTTGCATTTGTTTCATAACTTCTTTTTATTAATATTTTTAATCTACATTGTATACCTGATCTTTTGGAATTAGTATGTAATCAAACACTTGCAGTTTCGCTGTGGAATTCCCTGGTTGTCTCAGTCGTTTTGCAAACAACCATTTTAATCAGAAAGAGCCGAGGAGGAGCTCGGGTAGTTAGAGAACAGGGAAGTGAGGCCCAGACTGTTTTCTGGCTGCAGGGTAAGGTCAGAGGAAGCAAGTCCAAACAAAAGACTAGATGCATATGGATAGGTGGACCAGAGTGCAGTGAGCTGGAACCAGAGAGCTTCAAGCACCTGATACTTGCTCCGGCCTGCTCTCATGGTACTCTGACTAAAATGTAAAGTGAAAAAGATGAACCTAAAACACTTTTTTCTCTCTTTTCAGTTTTTTGTGTCTGTCAGGGATTCATTATGCACTGTTGTTTGCCTTGTCCACTGCCTGCTTAATGGTTTTGTTTACAAATTCTTGACAAGATTCATTTCTTGTTCAAAGAAATGACTCTTTATATTTGATCTAATTTTAATTCTAGATGTCATAATTTCACAAACTGACAGTTTTAGTCTAATACAGGGTAAAGCTGTGTTTAATCTAATTTATTGTGATGAATTGTTTTAACTAGGAAAATCTACATGAAACGTTACAAATAATGCTGTGCTATACCTTCCTGTAGCATCTTAGAACTTTAAGAGACATGTGGCTCACAGTACTAGCAGGAGGGATAATAAAACTGATGCTTTGAATAAAGTAGTCCCTTGGTGTCATTTGAACCTGCTGCACCTGTTAGTGCGGTTATTATAATCACCATGCGATTCTCATGACACTTTCACTTGCAGATAACCTTAAGTTACCTTTTTGCATTCGTGTGTGTGTGTGT